GTTCCATTTTTCCAATACCATATGTGTTGTTGTGTTCCTTAAAGACGTGTAGAGAAATACTGTAAATGCAAATTATACTGAGCAGCAGGGTGAGATTGGATGAGGAGAGATCCATGAAGCATTTTAAATGCAGTGACTTTTCAGAAAATTTAGAAGATAAGAAATCAGCAGTTCTCTTATAAATCGCTATGATTGTGTAAAACCTTGCCCTTGGTGTTTTCCTATTTTATCAAAAGTCTCGAAACCTAAAAAAATCCACATGGCCGGTGTCCAGAATCCTGATATCTGGAAAACTTTTGACAAATCTCTCCCTTGATAGAAAACTGAATTGAGCGTGGCACACTCAATAGTCCTGCACAATGCTAAACAGCTTTACCCAGTTTGTTCTGGCTCCGGTTCTCCTGGTTCCTCCTGGGCAGCGTCTTGCACTGTCTGGGCATCTTCAGTACTCTCCTCTTCTGTAGCCAAGGGCGGAATCTCAGTACGTTTATCTTCCATCTGCGTAGCAACTTCCTCAACCACTTTTGGGGCGGGTTCAGGTGTTGGTGGTTTGGGTTGTGGCTGAGGGAGAGAAAGAGACAATAGTGATTCCAACAATTACATCGAAGGCTTGTTGTTGTCCATGTTGGCACAGCCCAACAATAAAACGGTCACATTTCAGAAACTTTTCTCTGACAATTTTAACAATATATGTGACCCACTCTGCAAAAATGAGTCATGTGTCGCCAGAACCATTTTTGAGTTAAAGACCTTTGACAGAATCTTGCAGAGTGTTTAAGCAATAGGAAACCTGAACAGTCTCATGGCATCCATTTTAATCATACCAAGCTGAGCGACACATCAAAACACAGAGCTCAAATTCCTCAATCTAATACGAAATAAAACTCAAAAGTGGCTCCAGTGACTTGAGATCCACTTTGCAGAGCAGGTTACATATTACTTTGCTTGAGAACTGGATCAATATTTTCGGCTACTACGGACATCCTTCATAATATTTGGCAAAATATGCAATATAAAAGCTGTTTCTAGGAAAGCAGTGAAAAATTTCAGTTCTGCTACTGGCAATTGTAGTAAAGTATATTGCCCAAGGACACAAAATAAAACAATCAATCCTATCTTGAATAGAGCCCTAGTGTACCACTTGGCTATTTCTAATCATAAAACAAGATTCATAAACCATGAAAAGCTCGTAAGTACCGTCTGTGCAATTACAGGACACTCGCTATACTTACACAACCCCTACGCTCCCTCCCCCCGAGTTTTTCTTTGTTCCAAATGAACCAATGGCTGGACACCAGTGGGACAAATCAAAGACTCACCTGGACATCCTTGGGGACCTCTGGCTTCTTGGCAAGGCATGACTTGGTCTTCTTCTCCGGCGTCTGGGGCACCGTCTTGGGCTTTGCCGGAGGAGGCACTGGCGTCTCCTGAATTCTCACCTCCTTCTTGGGTTTGGGTTCTGGCGGAGGGGTGGGCTCTCTCGGTGGAGGGGTGGGCTCCCTAGGGGGTGGAGTTGGTTCTCTTGGGGGAGGGGTGGACTCGCTGGGAGGTGGGGTAGGCTCCCTTAGGGGTGGGGTGGGATCTCTTGGGGGTGGGCTTTGTTCCCTTGGGGGCGGGGGCTCTTCTGGTTCATCAACAGGTGATGTCTCCGGTACATCTAGTTCAGGACTGTTTCTGCCAGACAGTGCTGGGGATGGAGTCTGTTGTACAGACAATAGAAATACTGCCCAACTATTGCTCAAATAAACACATTCATAGATCTTACATTATAACATCAATTTATTTTGCACTAAGAGTGATTAAAGTCTTTAAAACAACGGTACCTTTACTGGCATTCAAAATCACGTCCCAGTTCCACAAGTTTCAATTCTTTTCCAATGTCACATATATTAACTTCTTTTAAGATTATATACACACGTACTCACAACATAAAGACCACCTTGGGAGATCTCGCGAGGAAACTCAATCTTAAGATACGAATTGGGCACAGGATGTGAAATTTGTGATGACATCTTGAATGTCTCTTTATGAATAAGCAAACTTTATGAAGTTGCAGAAAAGAAACTGTTAAGCAAATTTACAAGATTAGCCAAAAATCATTGGAGTACCAGTCATAGGTAATGGCTGGCAACCCAGTTTACTGCAAAGCAATGCTAAGCTATATTTGTATACTCACTGGTGCCTTGGGCTGTGTCCAGGCTTCACGTCCCTCCTCAGAGGGTGGTTCCTCTGGTCCATCATCTGGAGGAGGTTCGATAGGTGTTGGGATGCGGATTGACACATCTTCTTCTATTTCATCCTCTGATAGGAATTAATTTGTATGAAACCTCTAAATAATATAATAACAATTCAGTATTGAATTCTGTACTAGACGACCACGTAAAGCCTACGGCTCGAGAACGTCAGATTTACACACTTTCAATACCTTTACAAAATCTGTTGATACGTCTTACTAACAGTCCGAACATTTGCATTTGTGAAAAGGTAAAAAGTGATGAAATTAATGAAATGAATATTGGTGAAAAACGTTGACGATTTCCACTGATTTTCATGATACAAGATTCTTTTAACTGGGTATTACTAAACAGTGGCCATAGTGACTTGTGGCTCAATGTCACAGAGCAGGTCACAAATGAATAAGGAATGCAAGAAGAAAGAGGTTATCAAGTCTCTTTGTCCCATCTAATTTGTCCAATTTTAGGTCTTCCAACTGAGCAACTCACCATCATCCTCCTCCTCAGATAGAACTAACTCCCCTTCTTCTTCATCGGCACTTGACGATGACTCCAGGGAAGGAGAGTGCCGCTTGCCTGACTCGTCCTCAAACGCGATCCGCCTCCTGGGGGGCGGGGACGGGGTCCTGTCTCGTAGACCCAGCTCCACCCGTTTAACAAAGTTGGTGTAATGCGGAACAGTCCCTCGCCTTATCTGTGTATCAGTTGGTAAAAAAGCTCATTTCAACCACTTGACACGGGATGGCGTGTAAACACTCATACTTTTCCTTAGTTGTTCCACGGAAGAATTCTTTTTTCATTTTCCCAGTTAACGCAATAATGCATAGTGCTTGGTTGGGTCAAAACACAATTGCAAGGTTGAAAAATTCGTGGGTAAAAAACCTGCCCCCCGCAGTTTTTTCGGGTAAGAAAATGCGACATTCATTAACAGGCCATTTCCACATGCACTAATCATAAATGTTCTATGTTTATAATCCTTTTAACAATTTGACATGTCTTCTGATAACTCTCATTGGAAAGTGCTCTTTTAAACTCATTTACATTTTGTATACTTTTCCTCAGCGGCATATCCAACTCTTGGTGTTAGAGGAGAAAAGTCAAAAGCAACAGTAGCTTCAGGCTTATTTGACATGAAGTTGGGGGAGATAAAATACCGGTCATCAAAAGCCTTCCTCTCAGTCTCGAAATCCTAGCATTTATATTTCCTGGTGTTGTTTTCTTCAGGTTTTGGTGCCAATATTTGATACATGTAAATATTACAATAACAAATTGATAAATAAATATTAAAATGAAAATAAAACTAAAGAATTCCTCCGGGGCAAGTTGCCCCCTTCCCCCGCATACACTGGTGCTTTTCCTGCTAAATGAGGGCACTGTTGATATAGCCCATGTACCTCAACCGAGGTACAGTATATCAATGTTCTGTGAGGGCAGAGTTGGTGGTTATGGTTGATTGGCCACTTGTACATGTACCTGAAATGATTTACTTCTTAGAAATCTGAAACAGTTTCAGGGATTTTCAAATGTTATCAGCCCAACAAGCAGGGATAACAAATTGGACCCTTGAAAGACGAATGTTGTCTGTCTTACAAATCCTATATTATAATTGAATTTAAACAGTGACCACTCTATTAAACACACTACATGTAGTTTGTTTTCATCAAATCAGCATAATTAATTACATACATGTATATCGATTTAGATCGATTTAGAGGCCAGTTTGCAAGTGGCATTTATTCACAATCAAGATTCTGTGATGGTTGTCACTAAAGTTACATGAACTACTACATGTGCATGTAACTAAAGGTTTTTTCTTGCAACTTTTCCAGAACTCTTGACTTACACAAATAAAAATAACAAAAATAAGAAATCTATCTCTGGTTCATATGATAAAGAACAACTCAACAGTGCTGATTAGACCAAAAACGGGGCTGGCAAAATTAACATTTCATGCACAACATTAGTGTCAAATGAAATTGAGACCCTCTAGCACCATTCCAATGCAGACCGTCTCCCTGGTGTTTTCAAGTGTTGATTTGCAGTCCATCCCTGGTTGTTATAGGGGCAAATCAGATTAGCAGCACATCAATGGTTGTCATGGCTACAAGAGGCTAAACAAATACTAGCTGACTTTTATGGGGTACTTCACATAATCCATGATAGTCCTCCAGAGCCTGGCTATTACCTCTACATGGCCAATAGATAAAGTCCAAAGTCTTCGGCAATGCCATGCCCATGCACTCACATCCAAAATCTCACAAAAAAAAAGCTCTCCATATAATCCTCTTGTTTGTCGAGAAGCTCAAATGCGTAAATAATGTGACTGAACAAGCAGGCTCATATTTCCCTCAGTTAAATAACAGCAAGGCTGAGTAAATGCATTACATGTATGTTTGAATGGAATTACCTCAGCCGAGCAGCTGGGGACACCGGCTGTGGAATAGTTTTCATGCTAACTTTTGCTACTCTCTTACTTCTGACATTAAAGCTTTTGCGCCCCAACTACGGCTTTTGACCCAACTGTAGTTTGGACTAGTTGGGACAATCCCTACTGTAATACTACAGTTGGGCCAGCCCAACTATGGCATAGAATGCAAGTGTTTGTCCCGAGTACATGTATTCTTATTCCTCCATGGTGTGCTATTGCATGTACCCACATCATTTCATTTACTGTATGTCCGTAACTCTTGCCAGCATCTAGTTTTTGTTTGTGCTGTAGGTGAAATGCCACCTTGGCATACTTGTGATGATTTCTGTGGGGTGTGAACTGTATTGAATTCGAGAGAGTTGAGAAATTTTCGTAAGAAATGTGCTGACTGTGATTGGGCCAGGCCAACTCTAGTGCTATCCTTGGGACCATCCCGATAATAGTTGGGACTGATGCCATACATCTAGTTGGGGCATAAACAAGGTTACATTCAAGTAATTTACTCAATAAAACACAAGTAAACTCATGGACATGAACAGCATGAGTGCAACCTGCAGGAAAGTGAGAATTTCTTCAAGCCATGTTTTGCAACTTGCTTTTCTTACTTCTGACATTGAGTGAGAGTATAACCTCAGTCAGACTCAAAGTACCGGTATACTCTTTCAGCCTGTGATTATTTCAAGATGGCAGAAAACATAACCATTGACCGTTCAATGGTAATAGCCATGCAGCATTTTCATGCACCAAAAAGCAGCTTAAGTTAGGACTTAGGCCAATGAGTGACTGTGCCTCTGTTTTTTGCTTTCTTGTGAACAGCTTTGTTCTCGTTTCAGTGGAACAGCATTCATTTAAATCTCTAGAGGGATATTTGCTGGGTTGTTGTGATCTGGTCAAGTTACAGCTCTGCATCTGATAGAAAACCATGAGTACCTCTTCTGCTCAGCCTCACATGTGTGTACATGTATGTAATTAAAAGTTCCGGAATTTCAAAGATTAGTCCTTGGATCAAAGTTATCCTGATCTCTTAGCATCACAGAAAATATAGTTATGATGCAAACATGTACAATATAAAATTAACATACACTTACATTGTTGTGTCTTGGTAGCTGAAGAAATTCCTTTTTCTGCAAAGAACAAAATCAGACCGAGAATAAAGGTGAAAATTTAAGAATGTCAAACAAAATTTGAGTTGAGTGCTCCAGCAAGAGTACATGTACATGTACTTTGCTGCTGAGTACTGATGAATATTTTAGATTGAGGGTTTGCCTGCTGAATTCGACACACACAAGGGATGCTACAACCACTTTTACTCTGAAGTCTTTGCAAGATTCTGTGAGAAGCACTCGTAAGCTCAGGAGGGTGGGACTCAAAACTCACACCGTCCTATTGCCCAGTGTAAACCTCCTATCCACTGTATACAGAGGCTTGCTTTTAACATGGCCTCACACTGCTCTCTCCTTAAAGAATCTGGGCCAACTAAGTCCACGGATCTGCATGGGAGCCATCCACAGAATGAGTGGAAATTTCATGCCCCGACCTTTAGCATACACTAGATTTTGAGTTTAGATGTGATATACGTGTACTTAGTACTAAGAAGTCTCCCCTCCCCAACAAAAACAAAAGTGAACAAAAATTGTGTTTTATAACAATTTCGTAACACTAAACAGTAATAAATCCCTGAACAATCAAATGCAACAAGAATTTCAAGACCTTCTAAACATGTTCTACTTGCAATTTTACAAAGAATTTAAAAATCCAGATTTTCTGAACTAACAGAGCTCTAAGTAATGAAGTTTCACAAGCAACTTACACATACATACAGTTCTTGATGACACCCCAGGAAGTTAACACATAACTGAAAAACTTGTCAATAACTGGCAACATAGAGCATTTTACATGTCCAACGACTGTACACAATTTCCTGTAATGTTGTCAATGTACCCGTATACACTGATGATCCAAGCACAATGCTGAGTGTTTTTCCTACAGTAATTATTATTCTAAAGGCTAGGTTAAATTAAAATTTCAACTTTCAAGCAATGCCAAACATCTACGTGTACCTCAATCTTTTACACTGTAGATTTATACAAGAGTTCCCAGGCACCTATACTTGCTCTGCAGTTGTTGTCATTACGGTAATTTTAGGGGACCAATTCCAAATATTCGGTCCTAACTTGCCCAGCAATAGAAAGTTTCCCTGTAAACATGGTGAGGGTCACCCATGTACGCTAATGACCACACGCCTGCTGAGACAGGGATAGCTTGAAAATTTCCATGAGCGTTTGCCATATTGAACATGATTTCCCATTCTTAATTTGAGGACAAAAGCACCCATACCGTAGCTGGGGCAGTTCTTGGTCTGGTCCAGAAGATGTATCTATCATAGTGTGAGGGCACGTGGGCCGCAACCAGACCAGTTGATGATGTCGGCCTATTGCTGCTGCTAGACTTGGGACGGCATTCCACAGGACAAAAGGCACACCTGGATTCCCGTTCATCCATGAAGAGCTTGATTGTCTGCTCTGCGTGATGCTGCCGTTCCACGGCAGTCACGCTGCGGTTCTGTGCTGCTGAGGGCCGGTGGTGGGGCAGGATTGCGCTCCGTGGGCGGGGTGGCTGTCTTGAGGCAGGCGACCGCTCTACGTCCTGGTGATGGGAATAACTTCGGTGGAACAACTGGGCACTCTTTGGCCGCGCTGGCACAGGCCTGTTGAACAAGCTGTCGACACTGCGGCTGGCAAAGCGGGCCGTCGTGGCACTCTTTACCCGCCTCCGCTGCTGGCCTTGTGGAGTAGAAGAGCGCAACATGCTCCGGACGTCGGTCGCATCGACACGGTACTTGCTCATCTCATCCCGGATCTGTCGCTGGCAGAAGTCTTCCTGCTTGAAGTTGCGGTAGCCCACGGCTAACCAGGGCAGACTGGGATCTAACATGATTGCACTTGAGTATGGCAGAATATAATTCAGTGGCTGATCAGAATGTCATCCCTTGAATGAAGAACAGCACCAAGGGCTTGGAAGGCTCTTCTATCCTAACTGGATACTTGTAGTTGGAAACATCCTGCAATGAAAAGACAACTGTATTCAACTAAAGCAAAACTCGAAGTCCATTTTCCTTACCACTAAACGACCGCCAAACACTGTACCCTCACTCCAGCACACCCATCCTGCAACCTCCAACACCTTTCAATACATATGAAGCTTACTATAAAGTACAGTCAATAAGCTCTAAAGAAAACAAGGGTTAAAAAATGTGAAAATCTCCTTGGTTTCAACAAAGACGGTGCTCCTTTTCATGTTGGTAATTCAATCTTAGGCATGATTGAAAAATATCAGTAACATCCCAGTGTAGTTCAAATTCAATGAGGACAGATCTGACAAAGAGGACTTTTGCTAATAATGGGCGCCACAAGTTTCAATATTATGGTTAAAACCGACGCTAAACAAGCAATTTGTGAAGTAGAGTAAGTAATGAAGCGGGCCGTAACACAAGATTTGGTTACCCTATCAATGAGGTAAACATCTTACTGAGTTACAGAAAACACAACAGGGCATAAAAGGTACTTTTTTCTTATGGTAAAATATCCACTAATTAAATCTGGGATTTCTCTACTGGGATAGCTCTTGGTCTGCAGGGGTGTATTCAATTACTTACTGTGCTGGTGTGAATGCTTGAGCAACTCTGAAAAAGCAATTGCAATGGTAGATTTCACACAACAGCTTACATCATGAATGTAATTCCAAGCACTTAAGGCCTAATCTCAGGCTAGCCTTAGTGAAAATGTGGTCTTCTGCTCATTTCAAAAATTATAAAAGTATATATGTATGTAATTGTGAAGTTGTTGCTGTCTTGATTTACAAGCATGTAATTTACATTTATAATAATAACCAAAAGTCCAAACCTAGACAGATCTAATGCAGATATACCCGGTATGTCCGCAGACATCACTGATGATCACTTTTAAAAGAACTCACCCCCCCAAAAAAGTTGGAGACCAATTCAATTGAGGTAACAGTTGAAACGATCCAGAACTAGAAATATTCCAAACTGAATGGGATTCTAAAGACTGATTCGTCATATTAGTCATGTTGGTAGAGTTAGGCCTAACCAGAAGTCTCGGCTACGGATGTACCCTAACACGGCACAGCTCCTAATGTGACACACTTTCATTTTTCCCTTCTTGAGTCTTAGCATAGCGATACATGAATGTTTTACTCAAATTTCACAATAAGTGAAACTTCATCAAACTCCTTATACTGTGATTCATAAATCTCAATTTTACATACCTGCTACAAAGTGAACTTTGTTACTTATTCCTTGTTTGACGTTCAACATTCAATGTTGAACAAGTATCTGTTTGATATTCGAACGTTGAATAAGTGACCATTTTACATTCAGGATGCAAATGTCCCTAAAAGGGATGGAAAACAAAACATGGACAAAAAACAAACTGTGCAAACTACATTTCAGGGCTTGTTTGACCCAAAAAACCCCCATGCCCCGAGTTACCAGGATTCAACGTACATATAATCTCCAGGCGGGGCACGGGGTTTGGATATTTCATTGCAATTGGAGAAAAGTGTGGTGTCATGCATTCACTTTTCAACCCTGGTTTGCAAGCGAAGAACTCCACAGACGAGAAAAGACTTTCGTCAGAGCCGCCTGGACCATGGAAAAGTACCTTTACCCTGGTCGAAATGGGGGCAACAGGGTCACTAAAGTGTACAGAAACACTTTGAAAAAGAAGTTTAGAGCCGGGCATTGGATTGATGTATATTATTTCAGTTGAGTGAAATAGTTCAATGAAACCAGGAAGAATATAAAATTAACCTTTATTTTTCATCTAAAAATTAAAATGCCCTAAAAAACACCATCGCCTACATTTCAGGGCATGTTTGACCCCGACGAACCCCATGCCCTTAGTTCCCTCTATTGGAGAGAGTTGTTTGTGCATACATCATTGTGAAATGGTATGTACAACAATTTACAATGTAAATTGGGTAGTGAATGGATGCACACGGTGGCAGGGTGCGTTTTTGGGTCCCTTTTTGTGCTCCATCGCTTTGGCTTTCAGGGATGTGCATCCTGAATGTCAAACAATTACTTAGTCAACGTTCGAACATCAAACGGTTACTTGAGGACAAAACATCACCAGCACAGTGTAGGCCTACGTCTAAATGTGGATTTTCTTTTCAAAATGTTCAACTTCATCACCATTTAAATCACTTACCCGTTTGACAGCTCACGATTTCATAATGATGACCTGATCCAGCTGCAAAATTCACTTGAAAATCAATCACATTTACGTCCCACTTGCACTTGTTGCCCGCTTTCAATCACCCACTCAATCGCCAGTTTACGTCAACAGGCTCTAATTTTACCGCAATTCAAAGGACACGGTGAGAGGACAGGGTATCTGTCTTAACTCCGGCTCGTTGATGCGATATTTGGCGCCCCCATGGGCTCAAGTGTGTCCATGTGTTGTCTGTTGCCAGGACACCAGCGTACATACTTTCACTTGCAGGAAGAGAAATTTGGTGGCGCCATAACATTGTGTCAAATTACGCAACTTTTAGTCCAGTTCTGTCACAGGCAGTTGTATTTTCTAGTTGTTACCAACAGATGGCACACAAAGCTCCAAGACCGTGAAAACGAAGTCAATTTAGTTTTGTTATCGGTCACTGGGGCCTGAAATTTCAGCACTGTCATTACAGGGCAGAGTAATTTTGCAGGGGGACCCGACACCGCCCTCTCTCAATCAAAAAGAGACGCACCCGGCGGTTTGCAGAATATTTGAGGTGAAGCCCAAAACAAGTGGGCAGAAATGAATTTCACAGTGAGAGGAGAAAAAAAAAGCTTGCGTGAAAATTTCAAGCCAAGACTTAACTTATGGGTTCTTTATGTACATGTATTGTTAATACCATTGTTGCCGTCGGCTTCCTGACTAGAGTGCCATTAATTGACTTATTTTAAATTCAGAACTCTTTACAGTTACAGAAACTGACGCCAGATTAAAAAATCTTCCTCAATTTTGATGAGCAAAAGCGTCCTAAGGCTACTTTAATTTGCGATTTCAACGCTAATGATTGATTATCAGCTCGTTGGATTACTATTCAAGACAGTACAGCTATTTGTGGGATCACCCGGAATTTCAGAATGAAACTACTCATTCAAAGTGCCACAGATTGATAATTATCAGAAACAGAAAAAAAATCAAGTGTTGGAAAAGATCAATATTGTCTGTACTTACGGTAGATTTAGGCTTCGTGTATTTATACCACCCACAAGTGTCGAATCTCGCGCTGAGGTTGTCGACCAGTGTGAAGCTGTTGACCCCATCAAGAGGGAGGGAGAAGGCTCGGCACCGCCGGCCGTTCCTCGCCGTTGCCGCTAAGGACAAGTTGTCCTCGGTTTTCAGAACCCTGTGCTTGACCCGCGCCACGGGAAGTCGTAACCGGGCGCGCCTGGGGGTCACCTGTAACCCCCGGTCGAATACGGGGGAAGGGTTTTCCGAGAAGATGGCGTCGTGTCGCCAGGAGGTGCAGCACATGGTGTCTACTGTGTAGCCAGCAATTTGACGGGCCGGGTAGGGTGATGGTAAAATCCTGGGGGAAGTCAACGCATCAATCTGTCTGTCTGTCGTGCTCATCCTTATCATTTACGCATAAAATCTCTGATTTCCTTGACAAAGACGAATGTGTTTATTTGTATTTCTTTGTAGAACGTGTAACTCGACACCAGCAGAAATGGTTTGGCGACAATAGCCAATAAAATAAGATAAATCCCTGAAGACATAAACAGTTCATAACCCCTCTACTTAATAGAACCAAGTCGACTGAGGCACCTCCGAATCTGTTCCGCAAGGGAATTTGACGCCAGTTGCCACACCAACAGTAATGTCTCGTCATCAAAATAACGAGTCTACAATGCCTTCAAAACATGTGTACCCCTGTAAACATTTACCCTTTCAAACTTACCAATGCAAAGAGCACACTTTGGCTGACTTGAACCCTGGCGTAATCGAGAGCACCAACGCTCTCTCGTCTGTGGAAAAATATACGGGGCGCCAACAGACTGAGTGGAAATAGATCCTGGCGTCTCATTATGCCGAAATGACTTTGTTGTGGCTGTACTTGTTCGGCTTATGTAGTTACAAGCTTCGGTTAGCTCATTGTTGAGGTGAGGGAGGGGGGTCATTTTGAAATTCTGTGGCGTGGCGCGCGTGGTGTGAATGGGCCAGGCAGGGACCGTAATTACCTTCATTCAGACCTAAATCGGCAATGGTACAAAAACAAGCTGGCTACGCAAGAACCACAGGGATCTCAAGCGGAACAAGAGGCGGAATAGGGTTACCAGGAAGTGTGGTGCGGTGGGATGACTCGGAAACAAGAGGCGTTAAGGAATTGACTGTATTGTTTGACAAGACGGTTTGTTGCAGTGTTGGCGGTAGAAATAGCCCCAGCGGTGAGGCACTATCGATCAACATAATAAATACATTACATGCTGAGCTGAGAGATTCAGAACCGTAAACAAAGAAAAAAAAAGATGTAACGAGTGGATCCTCTCTAAACAGAAATGGCTCCAAATTCAATGCACCACCGAACGGACGCTGACAATGTGCATCATTGCGCATAGGATCAATTTTGCGTCTAAACTTTAAAGGCTTAGGCTACATCCGAATCTCTTGTCTAGAGCTAGGTCTAGGTCTTCACTCCATTGGAAATGCCTGGAGACGCGTAGACATTAGACCTAGCCGTAGCTCTGGAAGCCCGTTTCGGACACGGCCATACGCTCTGCCGCAGTCCCATCTGGTGTAATTTTTTCTAGAGGCGCCCTCTACTGCTCAACTTATATGACTGCCAAATGTAGGGCCACAGTCTGAAGTACAAGTATTCCCCTTTTGTTCCAACTATAAATGTTTAGAAATTATTCTGGAGCGACAGAAAAAAAGTGCCAGCGACGAACCCTCGATACAAAATAACCTTGCGAGGGCTTACAAAAGTTGCGCCTTCTGACGCTTAGGCCATACCACTTAGATTTTAAACGCTAGGGTTAACAAATGCCTTAGACAAAAGTGGGTTTATCCGCAGCACAGGTGTAATTGACAAGTTACCCCTGACATTTATTGCCAAGTTGCAGAAGGGCGGGGTTGGCGTATTCTAAGGGCCCCTTTCTGCAAGCCTGTTCCCGCTTCTGCACTCTTCGGTCCAAGCTTCCATTTTACCCCCCCCCCGCCACTTCGAACGACAGGAGAGACACCAGCCACGTGACAGGCTGCCCCTGGAGCCTGCTGCCCGCCCAACTCAGCTGACATTGGCGAGCCGTGTTTTAATTATCGGCCAAACATTACGCGTGACATTATCAGCAAATATCTTTGGTGTCAGTATGCACAGGGATAAGCTCAATAGTCCTGACGGCACATTACTGACCACGATTTACAGGCAATTGAATGTGTTACCAGACAAAGGTGTTAAACCGCACAATGTGGAGCAGGGGAATGTTCTATTCGGGAAAAGGGTAATGGAAAGCAAGTCCCCACACTAGGCCTAAGCCATTGCAAAAAAATGATAACTTTTTAATTAAGGATGTGAATTTTTTGTGGCTCCTAATCAATTCTGTGCAATAACGGAGTCAAAATAGTCATTCCACATAGACCCATACCATACTCCTCATAAGCACTGAGAAAACAGTAAGAACATCTTTGGCTTATAGAGGTTTTGCGTGGTAGCCATCTTGCAGGACAGTTACTTTGTTCCACAGGGAGATTTAACCTCATCTATACCATACCCTGTGGAACAAAAGCACTGGCCTGCAAGATGGCAGCCACGCAGCTTGGCATTGAAACCTTAAAGGGTATAGCGAGTCTTTTAAGTCTAAAGTACGTTGTCTAATAACAGTCACTGTTTCGTTTGTACCATGTGTCAATCCTTTCTTCTGTATCTGTGGTCTCAGTCCGAAATCCTGACGCTGACCATATATTGACCCATTGGTAAAGACAGATGACATCCGACCCAATCTGTATACAGTCTACATTTTTGCATGTGTTTACATTAGCACTGTAAATGGCAGTATCAAAGTGAACTGGTAAAATATGATGCGTGAATAAGGGTTGGTTGCTTAGAAGAAGCTAAGCTTTCTGGAATTTAAGAAAATGATCATGCTGTGCATGGCAGAAGACTTATTGGACTTTTGAGGCATCATCGGTACCATCACCGTGACTTTACTGGTGGATCTAAGGGGGCCATGAGTAGCTTGGCCCCTCAAAAGGCCGATTACAATTGCAAGCACGTAGAGACTGAAATTTAGCCCGATTGTTACGTAAAGAAATTCCCAAATGTGTTGCCCCCAAAAGAAAAATTGCCATTCGATGCCGTAGGTACCACACAGTGTACTACATTACATCATATTACCATCTCAGCGATAACCGCTATGATATCATCACCAGCACCATTATCATAACCATGACCACAATGATCATTATAGCAGCAGCATAACCAAAGACCTCACCACAGTCACCACCATCGTAACCCTCACACCGCCACCACCATCCTCAACGCTGTCATTCCTCACAGTCTCACCAACTCCCTGAACCCATTAACCACAATGGTCAACACATTCACAGTACGTGTAATCGAGTATAAGTAAAAACGATGATGGTCATGGAATTAATGAACATAATAAAGACAAACTGATCATCGTGAAAATGTCAACTTCGAGGCACTTCATCCCTCGCTGCCACTACCCTGTGTGTGACGTGCCACTTGAGTGAGCCTCCACGTCTGAGCATTCAACTCTATACCATCTGCGCGGGACCCTTCACCGTGCGGGCCCCCAGGGCTAGTCTGGCTGCAGGTATGCTTGGGCTCGTGCATCTGTCAATTCGGATCCCAAGGGGGAGGATTCAAATTCATCCAAATATCACATGATGGGGCCTTTGACCGGTTACTGAGCCGAGCAATAGTAATGGAGGTGCGCGAAGTGGCAGTGAAAACGTCGCTTATGGCTTGAACTAACGATGGCACTGATCATACACTGGTGAAATTTACGGTCAATTAATATGATTGGGGGTAAATTTGCGGTATAACTCCCTTTGGAGGGACATGTAATTTATTTTAATCGCAGTGTCAATAATTACAAACATTTCTCCGTCCACAATCTGAACGGAGGAACTGGTATGGGGGGCAAGGGCTTGTACAGAAGGCGTGCCCGTGGTTATGCCATCATGACGAAGACGAAGTGACAAAGACACGATGTGATGTTGCAATGAACTAAACAATGACGACAATTACGAGAAGACGAAAACACTACAGTCGATGTTACAAATGATTATAATGTCGGCAAAGAGACCATACCAAACAGTGGCGCCATGGGTATTTATAACCTAAACATCTTCACTGAACAGAGTAGCAACTGTTATTGTGGGCCTAATGTACAGCCCTTTCGCGTTTAATTACACACCGAAATACCACGACACCGCATCGATCAACTCCCTCAAACTAGATTAGCCAGCAACACAGTCCCTGCATCCCATCAACACACATTACCATCAACAGATCTTCAAACGCAGCGCCAAGAAATTGTCCCTGAACCTTAGCTAATTATCAGGGCCTTGTTGCTCACCGTGCGAGCACGGGCCCACCACTGGGGAGATCGGGACGGGAGAACTTCTGGGCAGCGCGGACAGCACAAGGCAGCCCCCTGCCAATCGCGATCGCCGCACACCATCACTGCCACCAAGACCCCCTTATTTATTGTCATCATTATCATCATCCCGTATCGTCACCATCATCTTCTTCACGGCACGTATATCGATCCCGCTACCAACTGTTCGGCTAGCGTGCAAATATCAAGCGCACACGGCTGGATAAACCCCGGCAGCTGCTCGCATGACAGACTTTGCCTGGGGAAAAAAAAGAGAAAATGCTCTGGGAAAAAAATCGTCAGGCCCCGCACCGCGTGACGACAAATTTTGCTCTGTGTTGGGGGCTTGGGTTTCCGCGGTCTGGTTTCACTATGGAGGAGTCGAGCCACGCGTCCGAGTTTTGATGATGTTGCCAGTTGATGATCTGACAGTGCGATTCCGGCGCTAACCGGGGACCCGTGCAGCCTTCCGCCGCCTTGTTAATGACATTAAGAGAGACCCGGCCTGATATGCTTTTTCACGCCTCGCGATGATACGGACATGACGAAACGTGCGGGAGTTTAACTAGTGGATTGTCTTTCTCTCTGCGGTAGTGCCGTTTTCTACACCAATATGCCTCTGTTAATGCAACAACTAGCCTGGATCTTGCTGCTTGAGGGTTACAGAATAGGTAAGTTGAAAGAGACAGGACTATACAATTGGACGGAAAGACAAATAAATCTGAATAACTGATCAGAACGAGACAGACAAACCGATGTGAACAAACAACGGTGTTGGACTTAATTTCCATGCCTTTAAACTGTATAAAAAACAGTGATACGCACTAGGATTAGTTTAACTTACCTTACAGCGCCTTATAGCCACTGAGTAAAACGAAAATATAAGGCCGCGTTACTGCGATGCCACACGTCAGGCATTTTCTCCACCAGTTTAGGGCTTTTCAGAGAGGCAAGTGGAAAATTCCGTGGAAACGTATCACCTAACTCACTTTAAGCAAGGTGTGTCTCTAATATCACATAAAAATAAACAAAAAGACCTTGGACCAAAAAATCTGCTACGCATTCGTGAGACGTAGTCGTAAGACCAATAGAAAATGGCGTCACCATTTTGTAACGAATATGAAGATACGTATCTGCGAGAAAGAAACAAAATGAAACAAGCAATGTATATTTCGAAATGGGTTGAATATGACACAGAGGTGCATAAGAAGGATTCCTCTGGGGCAAACATGCATGGGCTTCATGGAATCCAGTGCCTCCAAACCTTACTAAAACTAAGCCAACAAAACTGTTCACGTCATCATCAAGCTGTCAAGGAATAACGGGCCTTCTGAGAGAACTATAATGGTAAGGCCTCATTGCAGTTTGTGTGCAAATCTCATCGGACATGTAGAGAAACTCAAGTCCGGAGAATGGGAAACAGAAAAGGAGAGAACTGTGGGAGTCCACAACAGTGACATGAAACTCTACGACTGTCACTTTACATTTCTTTTTGACATCCATATAGTCCAGTGTATACACCGAATGGTCGGTTTCTCTACTAAAGCCGAGGCGCCGTTAATGCCCTGGTCCTAGAGGTCTGCTCCGTCTGTTGCAATCCATTAAACTCTCCACATTTCTGCTTCACCCTTCCACCATGCCACTGTTGATCACAACGGTTCCTCCGGGTTTTGTCCATTAGTGCACCTGCCTTGTCAGAGGGGTTCTGTCAAAAAAGCGGACAGTCGCGTCTTCGAAAAAATCTAAATGACTCGAGCATGAATGGAGAAAAACCTCGGAGGACATAACCTGGAACGATTACACGATAGGCAAAAACTAACTCACAGGGCATTCATTTCAAAACGTTTCATCTTCGAAGGCCTGCAATCTGTATTATCTTGGCTGTAATAAAGAAACCATCTCCCATAGTCTGATATTCCTTCGATAGTTGTCCTTGTGCATGGATAGATTACTAGGCCTGTAATGAATGGACCAAGTGAATTCCTTTTGAGGTGCTCCCCCATCCAATATTGCTTGCACATGCCAAGCAGCTCCAAATCCTTCGTCCATTTGCTGTCAGTCCTCTCGGAATATAAAACAGGTCTTCGAGATATAAACATCGGTATTTAAATGCAAAGACGAGTTCTATTTCATTTATTTTTTAAATTTTGCATCAAAGGCTTTACATGTCGCCTTCCTTTAAAGCTACTTGGAAAATAAGCATTGCTGGACTGTGATCAAAGAGGAATAGAAAGAGCCATGTTGCAACAAACATGAATCTTGAACCGTTTCAGTTGCTGGTCAATGGTAAAACAAAAACGAATATACAGCCCCCCTAAAAACAATCTTCAAAATGTCATTACACATCAAAGTCACACTTGAGGTGATGCCTCATGCTACCTGAAATCCTGTTAAAAATGGTTGCACCCTGCAGTCTTTTAGTAAAACTGACATATATGGTAGTTTTGCTTCATTTCAGCTCGACCCGCGATCAGTACTAGTTGATTTGGTACGTTTCAAAAGAGATTGAAGCAGTATCCGAAGAGAAATTAGCTTTTCTGTCATTGGCTTTAATTTTGGCAGGCTTCCCGTCGTTTTGAGAGCATGCAGTGTTATTAAATAACACCAAGGGGTACACACAGCCCGCGCGGTGGGCTCGTGTGTTTACGACTCTACTTAATTACGCTGGCACCAAAAAACTGGTGAAAATAATATTGGAATCGGTCCACATTCTTGACCTCCCACAAATTTAGCCAGGGGAAGTCTTGGCAGACTCTTTGGAGAGCTGAGCACACACGAGGGGGAGAAGGCCCGTGGGTAATGCAAATCACTTCAGTGTGGAAGCAGGGGACAGGAGCAACATCTTCGGGCTCATTTGTCAATATGCCCCCGTCGAAATGGGGGGGGGGGAAAGGTGAAAAACTGCACCGTGGTGTCTTTTGATAGCCTGTGTATGCTGTGACCACAGAGGCTGTTCAGTCTACTTCACTTATGTCATATAAATTCAGAGTGTGTAGAATAGCTGGGAATTTCGAATAGGAAATCTGCCGTTACGTGGTTCGATGAAGCACAGGTTTTTTAAACAAACCCCCAAAAGCCCACCAATGGTATTTTAAAAAATATCTTCATGCTGAAATCATTTTTCCCTCTTGGACCTCTCTGAGTGAAAACTGTGCAGGTAGCAAGGTTGAATTTCAAGTGTAAATTTCCCTTTTGCGCATGCAGCAATGGGATGATGAAGTGCGCGATTCATTCACTGAACGGAACCCTCGCTTGTAGAATTGCTATAGTAAGTGCTCAAAAGAGCATGGTTTAAGATGGCTGTTAAATAGGTTGAACCTTAGTCAGCACGCGCCGATCCGAGGGGAGGTCCCCTCCCCCGCTCATTGCCATTTTTGTCAAGAGCTTACTTCTAAAAGTTGGAAGCAAAAAGCATGTGTTGAACTTAGTTTATGTGTTCGGTTGAGGACAAAACAAACAGAGACAGAATGACTTCATTCGGCGACAGCCATCTTCACACGGCGACAGCCAAATAACACCCCCTCACTTACGAACAAAACTTTACCGACCCCCCAGGCTCCCCCAAAAAACTTACATCCGCCCCCGACGAGAAGGCCATCGTTTTCTGTTATATTTACTGCTTCCTTCTGCGTTTATCTTTGTATCTGCATATAAATCAACACACAGAAATGTCCTCCATTGAATAAGTCGAGGGCTAGTACACGGAGGAATAAGAAAAAGAGTTACCAGCACACAGATAAATTTCAGAGTATGGCCAAGTTAACACGAAACTATGGCTGTATAACATTCAACGATAGGTTTCTGAAACACTTTATATTCCCGATAAAAATGGTCAGTTAATTTTACAGTTCAAACAGACACCAGGTTGGTCGACACAAGCAATTGTTGTATACTAGTTAATATCTGTTCCCGCTGCAATTGTCCTTCCGTTGAATTGAACTCATATCCGCTAGCAGAAAATGTCTAATTAATCGCCATCCGGTTTTGCCTCACGTTGTCTTCCCTGGAATCAGAGCACTCCTTCGGTCGACCGAACACGATTAGGTCGCATTAATTATTCAGACCATTCCATGCCAATTTACGGCCATCGTTTCATTAAACCTTCATTAATTTTTCCAATCGGATCCGCGCACGCACATGAGGAGAAAAACTACCGGGTTCTCCGTTATTGGACGTGGTTGATTTCTCCCCCGCATCGGTGTTGTGGGGAGGGGGCGGGACACAAAAACTCCCCGGAGGGGTTCTGCGAGGAGAAATCGTGCAACAAACTCCTACTTCGATGTTGCCGGTCTTTCCGCCGCCGTCGGTGTGCCGGATCGACTTGAACATTCCACTTGACGTGTTACGTTACCCCCAGGACTTCTCGAGGCCCCGATTCGCTTCCTTGGCAGTGCCGGTAGCGAATTTCGGAGATGTCCTCTGTGTGAAGCCCAAGTGACAATATCTTTTATCCCCATGCGAATATCATCGGAATGGTTCTCGAACTTGACTTTCTGTTAAAAAAATCTGCAGAAGCATGGTCCAGAGAGACGAAAGAAGAAATTAATTTATACAAAAGTAGTGAGAAAGAGCGCGTCCCACTTCTGGGGAGACAAAAGGCATAAATTCCTTGGATTCGCAGCTACAACGCTCCCGTATCTAAATACCTGCAGCCATAATCTACTAGACGACCGGTGTCAGGTGAAGTATTGTGAAGTAGATAGAGGTAAAGTGGCCTGCCTAAGGACATCCGTACCGAAGCCATATGCGCTGGGTTCGGACCCATAGGGGGGCCTACACAATCTACAACAAACCCTCAGAACGATTTTAGACGGAGCGTTTGATTTTAGACAGAGCGTTGGAGGAGGCGAGGAAAACATGAGTATGTTGCGTCATGGTCAACTTTACCAACCTCAGTGCACCCTTGGCGATTCGTCACTTTAACGACGAATCGAACAAAACATCTCAACATCCTATCCTATAGAACCTCCCTCCCGCGCTAAAAGCATGATGCATCTTGCATGGCGGAAACCGACACCGTCATATACCACATGGATTAATACGTGTTGCGAATTCACGCTTTTCCGTCCAACGAAGGACTTGCACGCATTTTTACACGATAGCCCGTTTTGTAACGGCAACCTACGTAACTCAATAACGCGGAATCAATGGGGCCCGAGCAGAGACTGGTTAAAAAAAAAGTGGAGAAAAAAAACGTGATTGAATTATAGTTATACACTCGGTTGAATCGACAAGGTTGCGATCGATGGACCAGTTATTCTTGCGGGTAATGTCTGTTGACACGTGCCGGGATGGGATATCCAGTAATGCCTACTTGTGTTTGGGGAAGAAAACCTATCAATAACGCGGACAGAAATAACATTTCTCAGATGTAAGATACAGAGTTACCCTTTCCCTGCCAAAACATACCGTGAGTTTCGATCCATGGAACGGGGACCGACACACACTTGAATGTGTCCGCTTGATATCACAGACCGGTCATTAAACCCTCAAGTAGGGGCCGGGAGTCCCGTGTTTTTTTCCAGTATCACTGTCACAAAATTATTTTTACGCCAGGCATTCGGGACTTCTTTTTTAAAGTGATGTCTTATGCACGTATTGCCACAAACGTTTGGGACGATTTGTTGGACGTACTTATGCAGGCTGTCGTGAAATGTCAACGTCTGTTTCA